TTTTTTTTTTTTTTTTTTGTGACTGATTTTATGTACATGATAATGCCACTTTAGTATTGCTGAATAATGTATACTCATAATATTATTTGGAAAATCTTTGAATTGACTTATTACTGATCCTGCAAGAAAAAAATGTTCAAGAATGAAGCAAAAATGTATAAGAATACTCGTAAAAGTATTCAAAGTTTGCAAATTATGACTGATATTCGTCTAAGTCCTGCGGAAGATTCGGGATTAGTTTGAATATTAGAAGATCTCGAAGTTGATTCTCTTTTGAAAATGGTGAAGGAGAAGACTCATCAGCCTTACATTGGAAATTAAACAACCTTTTTATGAAGGTTCCAAAAAGTACAAATTCTCCCTTTCATTTCAATATTCTTTTGTTCATGTTGGAAGGTTCCAACAAGTCAAGTTTTAGAATAGTAAACATTGAAGTGGAAAAGTACCATTTGATCTTGTTTAGAGCATCTTTAAAGTGACTTTTGACGCTATAAAAATTCATCCATATCATCAACTTTTAAAAGTGTGTTACTAATTTGTTCTGCATCTTGTCATGAGCTCTTTCATGACGGGGTGGATAGTATTTAATGTTGACAATGTTGAGTACACTTTCTAATATCTAACACCATGTTAAACATGATGACTAATTAATTCACTTTATATTTTATTTAATTTTTTATTTTTCTTGTATTAATGATTATTTTAATTGGTCCACCTATACAAATAACTTATTATCAAATTGATGCATTAGAGATACTAATTTGATTCAAATTTTACTCTTTTAACATTATTCCTAGATGGATTAACATTGCAATCATTGATTGACATGTGTTAAAAATTATAGTCTTTCAAAGTGGTTGAGATAGTAGACGATTTGCAAGCTCATGGTAATTCTTTGACATTGAATTGATTTGAGCGATTATTTCCCTATACACTTTCGAGAGTGAGAGTATACACTTATCCGGTGAGGTATTTGTGGATTGAAGTATTGATCATGATCTTGATGAAGCATTCTTTTTGTTTAAAGATTTCGGAATTTAGTATGTTATTTGTCTGATCACTATTGATGATGTGTATGATCGACTTTGAGAGTTGTGATTGTTTTTCTTGGTGTGTTGAGAGAATGAGATGCATTGATCGGGACTATCAATGGTTTAAGTTTGGGGGTTTGTTCATGTTTGATTTTACACCATATTCATATAGTATCTAGAGCTTATTTGTCGTATCATTGGTGTATAAATTGCATATTTGTGATTTAATTCTATATTTGTTGGAAAGGTATTACACGTGCTTGTTTGGTAGATATTTTCACATATTTGTAGAGATTTTGGCTATTGGAGGTGCATGGTGAGTACCTAAGACCCCTGGGATGATGAAAGATTGATGCACGGATGAAAAAAATGGAAATGAGGGAAACAAGTGAAGAATAAAGTGCAGATTTGTGACACGGGCATGATACCCGTGTTAGAGGCCATGTCACCTCAGCAGAAGGATTTCGAAGCCAGGTACCTGACACGACCCGTGACACGGGCGTGTCTGGTCGTGTCGCACACGCGGGCAGCTTTTAATTCCTTGCCTTTTTGGATAAGGAGAAGAGTTTTAGACATTATAAAAGGCATATTAACCCTATCTGAAGGGAAAAAAGAAGAGAACACAAGGAGAAGGGCTTGGAACACAGAAGAGAGGCAATTGGGAAGAAGAGAAGATCAACCACAAGATTTCTAGTTTTTATTTCTCTCTTTTGAACTTATTTTTCTCATGATGATTTCTAATATGTCTATGTATTTGAATTCAAACATGAGTAGCTAAATTTCCTTGATTCTAAGACATGGTAGTAGATTAATAGTTTGGGATTTTTGGATGATTTATCATAGTTGATTGTTTTCTTTTGAACCCTATTCAAATATTTTGCTCTTATTTCATGTTTACCACTTGGCCACTGCTTTTACATGTTTGATGATATTGTTCATAATTCGAGAGATGAGTTCAATATTAGATCTTTAATATTTGACACAATTTATTTGCTTGAATCGAGAGATTAGTAGATAGTTGTGAGGATTTTGGGTCTTTTAATCTTTTTGGAGTTGAATTGCATGTGTTGAGTGCAGACGCTAATATATGTGATTTAATCTACGGTTTTATCGATCTCGAGAGGGACGATATGCTAAATTTGTGATCGTCTTATAGGGTAGATAAAGAAAACATTTAGTTGTGATATTTTTGAAGGAATCCTAACTATTAATTGAACCCAACGTCTTAGAATCTATCATTCTCATATATTTTCTTACGTGTTTTTCTAGATAGTGCTTTATTTTTGTTTTATTCTCTTTGATTTATTCTCTTAGTTTAGCTAATCTATCTAATTACGATCGTCTAAATAAAGTTGGCATTATCATAATATATTACTTGATATATTAATTATTTGGTCTCTTGGGATACGACCTTGCTTGCCACATACTACGAACGAAGCCGTACACTTACGGTCGAGCTTTAAAAATATAGGCGAACAGTCCCAACGTTCGTTGTATTCGATTCCCATAAGGGATATGTCCCAGTTATTAAGGCGCTATGTTAGTAGCCCTGCTTCATGGAGGATCTAGTCGAAGATCGACCTGTGGCACATATGGTTGTTGGATTGACCACTTTTCAGACTCGGAGTAGTCAGCGGATCGGCTTGGACTTGGTCGTACATCAGAGCCTTCGAGGAGACTTCAGGGGAATAGAATCCTACGTGCGGAGGACACGTGGCATGGTCTGATTGGCCTATATTGCACAACCTTTTCTGACACACTTCTACTGTGTGTTGTACTACCGGGCAGGCCGGGTAGCTCTTGGGCAGCCAGCTAAGCCAATCGAGGCAACTTCTAGAACAAGTACCTCACCCATATATATAGGGGTAAGATTTATGATTTGAGCACAATTTCATCTATTATATTCTTGAGAATTGAGTATAGCTTGAGACTGACATAAGCATCGTAGGCTCTTCACCGGAAAATCTTTCCGGTGTGAGAGTTTTTGCCATATACTCGACGTTCTACCGGCGAAAAGAAGGTGAGACGATTTCCTGCCGATCGGAGTGTTCGATGTTTTTCACTAGAGAATACCCCTTTATTTTGAAAGCATATTTATCCAAAATGAAAAATAAAGATGAGCAAAGTGCTTTTGAAGTCTAGTGTGAATTGTGTGGGTGCACAGTACACACAACCATCGTGAACATTCTCATAATATCTAGTAGTTACAAAAATCTCAATATCTCACCTACACATCGTGAACATATTAAGATGTATTCATCAGTTGTGTCATTTGGTATATCATTAGATTTTCAAATATCTTACCCAAGTTCTGTAACATCATGCGTATACGACATTCTTCTGCCACGTCAATTGGTGGACATATTAACGATGAGATGGAGACTAGTTTAGTATTAGCATATAAAGGCTTTATTTTTAGTTTACCGTTTTGAAAAAAAAAAAAAAA